ACTAAAATCTCCAGCATGGGGAAGTGGGCTGAGCTCGACTTTTTCTCGACAATACATATGTATATGTGTGTGTATTCTTTCTTACGTACGAATAAAGATTTATTTTTTACCTCCCCACCAACTCTGTTTTGTGTTTTGTACAATTACGTATCTCTTAAGAGCCACGCTATAATACTGTATGTGTGTGAGAAACCCCCGAAGAAAATTAACTCATAACAATAATAGCTCAATTTACAAGTTAACTGGAAGAAAAAAAAAGTGACATACATCACACAGAAACTCGTCTACCAGCTACGTGCCGCCACTTTGAGCTCTGCCACCTTTTGTTGAAACTGGGATGATATGAAATAAATTTCCGGTTTGTCCGTGAAGCTACACTTACGTTATCTAATGCGCAGCCGCCTGCAGTGTTCAGTCTATCCGCTCACCTGTATAAATACTCCTGCAGCGCTTCCTCTTCCCCGCTGTTCGCTTTGAACCGCCACCAGGCAGCAGCTCCAGGAGGAGGAAAGACTACCGTACTCCAGGCATCGCGCCAGTCATTTAAAGGATGCTGATTGGTTCACTGATAAACGACAAAGACCTGAACATCATCATCAATCAATAAAATCCTCCCAGGCCGAACTTGAAAACTGGACGTTATGCTGCTAACACTTAGCTTTGTCAACAACTCAGGTGGAAGTGAGAGCTCTGTACGATGCAAGTAATAACCCAGCTGGAACATGGAGCGCTAAATAATAAAATATAACTGACGGAGGAGCCGTCACGAGCTGGGACTTAATTATAAGTCCGTGTCAACATGACAGCACGCCTGCACACACATACACACGATTGTTAACTTACTTCTGTTGCAGCTTAAACTGACGCGGTGTTCCTGCTTCAGTTAGCATATCCATCCTAACCTGTTTTCACTTCCAAACATTTTCCCGGTTTTGTTTTCAAGCAGGGTTATTTCCAAATAGACCCTTTTCACATGACGTCAGACAACATCCGTTTTGACTCGATCCAGTGTATCTTTAGTTCCGGTGTGTGTAGTTAACGCTGTTTCTGGACTCTAAAGCAGCTGCCACAAATACAATTTGAAGATATATCACTATTTGCAAACATTTTTAATTCATCAACATAATCTAAACTGGACAAATTCCTCGCTGATTGATACCAGTTTGACTACGAAGGTCCGTGTTTTGGTTTTTTCTAGCTTTTAGTTGATATGCTAGGCTAGCAATAGTAATTTGTTAGCTGGCTAACATTACGTAGCCTTTCTGTTTTGGAAATAGAACGTATTTAGGCTCAAATCTTAATCAGATTTTTATAGTATAGACTGGGGTTAACACCCGTCATGGAAAATGCATGATCGTATTAAACCCTCCTCACTAACGCTAGTTTCACCACCCGCTCAGTAGCGACATTACCTGTAGCCACAAGTCCAAAACTTGACAGTTATGCCAAACACCCGCAACTCCATCACGTCCTGAGAAGTTAAACTCCTGCTACGATCAAGACATGAGGAGGAAGGCGCTGTTTTAGATAGATAGATAGATAGATAGATAGATAGATAGATAGATAGATAGATATTAACATTTCATTGGAGAAATGTGATTCTCTCTCTCTCTCTCTTTGCTCATTAACTTCACATTTCTCCAATGAATATTTATCAAATGTTATGATTAGAAGGTTAAGTTTGTTATACTTTGTCTTCCTGCGGTTGTAGACTTGGCAGTAGAAAATTGATAACATAGGAATAATAACTTTATATCCCTTTTAACAAGTTACACTTGATTCTGCTGTGGTGCCTGTGGAAACAAAGTGCATGGAGTTTGTGCTCATGGTGGGAAAACCCTGTGGATCACATGGTGGGACTTCTGCTTCAAACTGCTCACTACAGTTTACCACTGCCTCTGTCATGCACCAGTTCACTGCAGACTGGCACCCACTAAGGACCGTACATGGATGTCTTCTTAAGTTGTAAACCCTGAGTACATAATGTTGAAATAAAATTGATATGCCTTTTGTAAATACATTTTGTCTATCAATGATTTAAATTGTTAACTGTGGTAATTATGTTTGTGTAATGTAGTATATATTTATATACTACATATAATTATTACATAGATGTATTAAAGAAACAGCCACAAGCCTTATGTCTTTGTTCCACAATAGCAGCTTTAATTTTAGCATTTCCTCTCGTCCACATACATCGTTGCCAGATGTGTAAAATTTACAAAAAGAAGCAATTTATATGTAAAAGTTGCACATATGTAGATTACTCAAGAGAAGCTATTTACAATAGTTTTTACAGAACTCTACACATCAATTCATTTGTTAATAGATACATATAGATGTTAATTACAGAATAGATACACAAAGATTTCATTTCTAACATAGTTGCAGTATTAAATGTTCATCCAAGAATTGTGACTTGCAGGAGCAGAGGGGCTCTGTACTGGTTTCTCCTTTTAAATCAAGAAGCCCATGATAGTTTGACTAGGCAGCAGATGTCCCACAGCTGATTGACTGAACCTGCCATGGACAGAAGAACAAGACCATCTGAGATGGTCTTGTTCTCAGCAGTAGCCTACCTAACAAGGTAGGCTACTGCTGAGAAAGATGGACAAAACAAATGGAGAAATTATGAATCACATCAGAATATGTAAATTATTTGGCAAACAGCGCTTAAATCAAATTTTTGATTACAAGTTTATTTTCTTCTTATTATTATTTTGTACCCTTTAAGAATTTACTTGAATTAGAAGTAATTGTTTTTGTTAGGTCTTTCTGTGGGCGGAGCCTGTGGCTTTAAAAGCAGGGCTCTGCCACAGGGAGGCAGTCTGTGGCTAGACTCCTGAGAAGTCACATGGAAGGTGATGGACTCTTGCATTGAAGGTACTGCTGTTTGTCTGATTTTAACCTGCCTTGGATGTCCTTGTATATATTCTGCACCTGCCATCTTTGTTCATCTGAAGAAAAGCTAAATAAATTTCACTAAAGTGATCTCTGGCCTTTGGCAGTCAATTTTTGTTTGTCCAACTCATAAGAGAGCCCCGTCACAGTGAAGTTTCAAGGAAGATAAATTTTCCTCAAGGAATTTAAAAAATCGAGGTACTTGAATCACTCGAGGAATCATTTCAGCCTTATTCTAGTTTTTACCCAAATCAATTTTATTGTGAAACTAAACATAGAACACACATGGAAAATACTTCTAAGAATTTACAACAGTGTGAATCCTCATGTGATCAGTTAAAGTCCGTTTTCGACTAAAACTTTTCCCACAGGTCACACATGAAAATGGCTTTTCACCGGTGTGAATCCTCATGTGCCGAGTTAAATGCTGTTTGAGACTAAAACTTTTTCCACACTTCACACATGAACACGGCTTTTCACCAGTGTGAATTACCATGTGATCAGTTAAAGTTCGTTTTAGACTAAAACTTTTCCCACAGGTCACACATGAAAATGGCTTTTCACCAGTATGAGTCATTATATGCCGAGTTAAATTTGGTTTTCCACTAAAACTTTTCCCACAGTTCACACATGAAAACGGCTTTTCACCAGTGTGAATTACCATGTGATCAGTTAAAGTCCGTTTTAGACTAAAACTTTTCCCACAGGTCACACATGAAAATGGCTTTTCACCAGTATGAGTCATCATATGCCGAGTTAAATTTTGTTTTTCTCCAAAACTTTTTTCACAGGTCACACATTCAAACAGCTTTTCACCAGTGTGAAACCTCATGTGCTGAGTTAAAAGCTGTTTTCGATTAAAACTTTTTTCACAGGTCACACATGAAAACGGCTTTTCAGCAGTGTGAATCATCATGTGCTGAATTAATTGCTGTTTTTGCCTGAAACTATTTCCACAGTTCACAC